GTAAGCATGTGAAACGAGGGCAGTCTTGTTGGGCACTATGCCCTAAAGCCTCTGGAATCTGACACTAATAACGCTGGGTGGTTAGTGTCAGAATTATATTGCAGTATTTCAAGTAGATACAAAATAAACATCGTTGGATTAAATTCGGTTTTGATTTTATGGACCCTTAATAAGGTCTCTGCATGTTAAAGAACTGCCACTCTGTATTATTCTGCAACTTGCTCTTTTACCCAGTCTTATGTTTTCTAGGTCTATTCATGCTGATACACATAGCTCTAATGTACTTATTCATTTTAACTCTGTATTTCTCCATTTATTCTTCATATGTCTACTTCACAATTCTTTTATCCATTTCCCTAATGATTGACATTTATTGTTTCTAAATTTTTGCTCTTAAAATTGATGCTTCAGGAAACATGTATAGGATTCCTGGTACAAACATGAAACATATTCTCTAGTATATATATCCAGAAGTAGGATTTCTCATACAAATTTTCAATTTTATTAGGCATTGCCAAAATTTTTCTCGAAAGTGAAAATACCCATTTATGTTCTCACCTGGTTCCTTCTTGTTGTCCTTGCTAATTATTGGCATTGTCAGATTTCTGGAAGCTAATAGTGTGGTGGGTGTGAAATAGAATCACAGCATTGGTTTAATTTGCATATCCCTGGTTACTAGTGAAGTTGAGTTCCTTTATATATATCTATTTGCCATCCTAGCTATGTTTGTCCATTTTTTTATTGAGCTGATTTTTATAGTGATTTATAGAAGTTCTATATGACTAAAAGACTTTTTTTCTGTTAATATATTGAAAGCATATTCTCCCATCCATCACACATGTTAACCACCTTTAACACTGTTGACATTGTCTTTTGATGCCAAAGTTTTTAATACTTAGTTTTACAAAATTTGCCATAATTTCCCTTGAGTTTTGCTTTGAGTGTCTTGTCAAAAAAAAAAAAAACCTCATGTCCCTCATTTTTGCTTTTAATCATTTAAAATTTTTGTCACAAATAAGAACCTAATGTGTATCTTCCATTTTAGTAGATAACCAAATTGTTTTCCAAAGTGGGTATATCAATTTACATTTGCATATGAGATTAACCATTGATCTACATCCTCACCAACCCTTAGAATTGTCTACCTTTTTAGCTCTGACAATCTGGAGGATAAAAAAATGTCACCTTGATGTGATTTAATTTGCAAAAAAATTTTATAAAATATATATAAGATATATATTAAAAATTTTATGTATATATCCCTGCATATATATATATAAAATTTGTCTATATGCATGCATATGTATACCAAGAGCTTTAACTTACCTGTTTGGAAAGTGACTTCCATGTTTTAGCAACTAAAATAAGCAAACATAAAATAATTAGATAATAAATACTTCATGTAATATATATCTACATTCGCTAACCATCTAGAACTATAACTCATAACCAAACTTTTATGTTCATAAGGCAAAGTTTTTTTTAACCTCAAAATCTGGATCTAAAATATGATCTTACTTATGTTATCTACTTGTTTTATATACTATATACTATTTATAATAAATAACAGTGAAATAGGAAACACTTTTTCCACAACCATGTTATTTTAATTTGGGGCTTTCTGGATTTATAAAGTAAATTAACTTACTCCATGTTAAACATCCTAGGGGCTTAAAAGCATAAATAGTGATGTTTACAAACATTCATGCTCGAATATAAAATAATATTAACACACAGAAATTATTTTAAGTTGTTACTCATGATCTTTGCTGTTACAGTATCCCTGAATATAATTCATAGGTCAGGTCTCTCTAGGGTGAAGGAGAAGGATGAGGACAAAGAGAAAAAGAGATAAAAGGGAGAGCAGGTAAAGTGAGAGGGCAACTCCTGCCCTGTTTTTCATTCCCTATAAACAGTTACAGGGAAGAACGTCTCCAGGACAAGAGTCTTACAGTTGAGTGAAATATCTGGGATCACTTCCTTTTTCTGATTCTTCCTCACACCCCTGAAGACCTCAAACACTTTAAGTCTTACAATGCTGGGGCAAATGTGCAGTCATTATTGCTGTTTCCTTGGCTCAGATTTGAACACTGTAAATATCTAATGCCTGCCTAAAAATTATCTCCAGGCTTATATGTGATTAAATCCTACAACACAGCTGCATTAGGAAACTGGTAAATATGATTTCAGCTAACTACAATAATGACAGCCCATTTTTTCCCTACAAGGCAATGGGACTATTTCTGTATAATTAATAGTAAATTATATCAGATTCAAAATTACAAAAAAGCAATTTTTTTGCTATGTTACTTTCTCTTTTTTAAGCAATATAACTCATTTTAACATCAAAAGAGAAGAAATATGTTTCTAAAGATAGATTTCTTCTCTATGTAGCAACAACATCCTTCCTCTACCCAAGATAATTTATACAAACATGTAATCAAGTGATTAGAATCACATGTCTACAAATTAGAATTTAATATGTAACCTTAACTATCATACTGTATACACTCATTCTGCAAAGACTTTCCTTTTAACAATGAACAGAACTTAAGATTTATTATTCTGTTGCTCCTGAAATATAGCAGTAAGAAAAGAAGAAAAATAAATGGTACAAAAGCACATGCACATACTCTTATGCAATGTTCAGAAGCTATTTATCAAAAGAGGAAGTTAGACATACTCTTGAGTTTTGTAGGGTTTATGAGATTTCCATGGTAAATTATTCACAAAAGACATATTCATTCTGCCGGAAATGTCACCATGTTCAATATTATTAGCTGTTTTAATAAAGACTAAGAGCCATTAAGATTGTTCTTCAAAGGATTTTCTAACTTTCTAAATTCCTTATTTCATATGAAGTTACTACATATATAAATATAACTTGGGTGGAGAGGGACTTCAATTCTATTGGAAATATTTTATTTCTTAAGCTGTAAGTTGATGTGCATTATATT